TTGCCTTTGAGCGTGGTACTTGCTGCATTCAAATAGAAGATGATTGGTTGATAAAATTCGGTTGCATTGGATACACATTGGAGGTTCTGTTTTTTTTAAATAGATACTCATGCTTGAGTTTGCAGTGTCACGACTATTCTGTCTTTTCTTTTCATTTTGTTGGTAGGCACTGTTTGATAGAAATCTTGAGTTATATTATGAGTTTTTGTTTACTCTTGCTTTTATTAACAGACGAACGCTCTCTCCTTACAACGACAGAGACAAACGACTGCTTCAATGTGAAAAATTCAGGCAAACGAACGCGTCTCGCTACGATAATTGCTACGGTCCAAATCTACACCAAAGCTTTCCTTCAAGATCGATTCTCCCCAATTATGTAACGTTCCGTGACACGTATGTACGATGGCACGCGAGGAGCTAACGACATCCAAACGTATATACATAATGCGACACGAACGAACGAACGAACGAACGATTCAAAGAGGGTTGATTTCACCTGTCGGCCCTCTCCGCCCTCCTCGCCCCTCCGAGCGATCCTATCCAATTCTCCGGAGCTTTGCGAGGTGAACGGCGAACAGGAACGGAGGATCCTCTCTCTGTTAGGATATTCTGCTCGGGCGGACGTTAGAGAAGGACAGCGAATGGGGCAGAGAAAGAGAAAGAGAGAGAGACGGAGAGATGGACGGACGATAAAATAGGTACAACAGCCGGAGAAGGAGGGACGAGCGAGCGAGAAGAGGAGAACAAGGGAGGAGAGGCTGTCGCTCGGAGGCAAAAAGATAAGGCGGCTAAGGGCAGAGAAGTGAAGGGTGGTTAAAGAGAGAAGGTCGAGGAGGTAGGAGACGCGTGCACGAAAGAGAGCACCGCGGACGCGACGCGGGTGCGGGAGATGAGGAAAGAAATTGGACGAGAAGGGAGAACCGGAATGAAAAGGGGACGAATAAGAGACAAAGAGAAGAGACGACGCGATGGGATGGGAGAGTGGAGGGGGGAAGAGAGAGAGCATGAATGAGCGAGCGAATGATCGGTGGAAATTGAAGGGAGACGTCGAAAGTTGGAGGGAGAGAAGGGAGAGGGACGAGTTGGGCGGCAAAGAGAGGGAGAAGAGGGAGGAACTCCTGGCTGCTGCAGAGATCGATAGAACCGGAGCTGCGTGATACTCGGTTTTCCACACAGGAAACCGAGAGATGGGCTGCAACACACCATGAATGAGATGCTCGGCTACGCGATGAACATGCTTCGAGGAAATTACAAGTACGTATGGAGGCCGTCTCTGAAGGGACGTGGCTGCGGCGTTCTTCCACGGGAAGTGAGAGTGGGAGGAGAAGGAGGAGGAAAAGGCAACGCGAAGCGAGTTTTACCGCTTGGTAAAACCGTGATTCACCGACGAGCTCGCGCTGAAAACTGTTGCACCGCCGCGTTGTTCGATTCGAATGATCCTGACGTCACGACGCCGAATTATTGCCCGTTTCAATGCGAGACCGCGTAATTGCTCTTTGACCATTCTCTCGAACGACGACGACGCTGCTTTCACTTTCCTTCGCATTTTGCTAGAGAAATTTTTCACCGTCAACTCCGAAATGGATGTACGGGCTGCCAGATATTTTCTACGAAACTGTTAAACTCTCGTGCCACGCACGTCGAGAATTTTTTGTCCCAAAATTGCAATATTTTCAAAGTTCATAGTATATTTAAGTGTAACCATGTAGGCAAAACAAATTATATAAGATAAATTTTATTACTACTTCTCAATAATTTCTATCCAGTGATATCATACCGACGAGTTCAAAAGGAAAGCGACGAATTGTTGTATACGGTGTTGGTCACTCGTTATGGTCCGCAATCAGTTGCCAGCGCAACTGGTTAACGACGATGGGAACATTTCAGTCGTGTTTCGAGAGTCTGGTGTCTTTTAAATAATTTAAAAAGCAACAGTATAAAAAAAAAATATATATATATAAGTATAAAATAAACGTATAAAATATATGTACACACACGTTCTACAATATAGTATTTTTATATTAAATCATTTTATGTAATCATCTTTCGGATTATTTTACATAATAATCCTTCAGATCGTTTATGTAATTATTTTACGTAATAATTTTAGATTATTTTCTGTGACGTGGAAATTTCATTTAATAATTCGAGATATGTCAGAGAATTCTAAAATACGCAAAACATATACATAAACTTTTAAATAAATGTACTATACTGTATTATATTAAATAAAATACTATCAATTTTGAAAAACATATAAACGTTATAAAAAAAACATATAACGTTATAAAAAAAATATATACATCTTAATGGCCATTCTTTGCAGCGATTAATTTTACGATAGAGTATATATTTCGATATTGTTTTAAAAATACCACCAGTTTTAAGTAAACACCTACAATCAACGAGAAATATAAAATGCAAAAGGATGCGTATTTTATCAGTTATTGAGATCGGTTATTCCCGTCTTACGATTAGTTATTTTTACGTCCTTCAAATATTGGTGTTTCATCAGTGTTTGATCTATAATGGACGAGCAATCGCAGATTAAATATAACCGCGATTAAAATTACAAATCAATATGAACCAGTAACGAGCCCCGTTGTCCATAATGTGAATTCATTCATTCATTCGTACTTCGTTAGAAAGACGTGAATGTATACATATACAAGTATATACGTTTGACGCAATAAGTCTAGATGGCGGAACGTGGGACAAGGATTAAAGGCCACAGATGCTCCGCTATCCACAAATGTGTCGCACCTCCTATACACACAAAGCGGTGCAAAAATAAACTCGCCGAATAGAGGCTACAATCAATGACGTCATGTTCGGTCAGAGTTCACCGGCCAGTGACCTGCCAGTTCGTTCCAGTCACCTGGCAGCAGTGACAAAAGACCTCCGTGCCCGTGGCTCTGCTCGTGAAACGATATTTCAACCGTGCGGATCCTTATTCCCTGGGTATAATTCCGCAGCGCAAACACGCCGAGTAGATCAACGATACGACCACGCGATAGCACACGCGAAAACCAAGTTGATCCACGTAGTGAACCGTTTACACCAGAAGCACGTATGTACGTACATATGTATGTATGTACGTAGCGTGCATACGTCGTGCTGGCCAACTACCGAATCCCTCTCTCTCTCTCTCTCTATTATTCCAATCTTCCCCTCTCTGTCGCGCCAATTGCTCGCGTCGATACCATTGTTTTGGACAGTGGCGTTACACAATTGCGACACACAACCAATTTCTAGCTAGCTGGTCTCATCAACACGCACTGGTGACGTGTATCAACATCGTAACTAACCATCGCGTTCACGCTCGATTGTGAACGATTTCGGAACGATCGAGAAATCGAAGAAGCGACGATGCAAGTGGATACACGTTCAGGACTGAGAAAAATGCCTGATCGATCATCATCGAGGTTGTTGCAGGGGAAAGAGACAAGACAGGAAGGACAGTTGACGTTCTTGCGGAAGATGTGACATTCAACTACTTACTTACTTGCTGTCGCCGTTCCCTAGCTGGCAAGACGATGAAGATTCGTCGCTGTCATTGTCATCGGCCTCCTCGGACAGGGGTTGTGCTGCGGCATGGCTCCTGTCGCCGGTCTCCAGGTCAGCGACGAGAGTGTACATCGACGATCTTTTAAACGAACGTGCAACGTCGCCTCCTCGACGACATTGTCGTCGAGCCTACGAATCGACGTGCGAATCACTTGTCGCGTGTTGTCCCTCGCGTTATACACCACAGAAACGTAATCGGCTTGGTCCACACGAAGAGGGCCAATTTCCTCCACGAACCCTTATACACCCGATTGCAAGTAGCGCCCTCCCGCCATCAGACAGCCTGGTTACGTACAAATATACGCTCGTGGCACCATCTTGCGGCCAACGAAGAACTTTCACAACGTCATTGATGGTCGATGCACGTGTGTACGCGTAGTTGCACGATTATGCAAAAGAAAAAAAAAAAAACCTTTTTACAGGGAGAAAATCGTTAGCAATTAACACGATGAGAGATCGTAAATTTAAATTACTAATTATTTAGAGTAATTTAGTTGAATGTAGAAATGTCGTCTTGTTTCGTCAAGCAGAAGCAAAATTTGTAGATAATTCTTTTGTACGGATCTCATAGACGAGGAAGTATAATTAGTTTGTCAAATATAGTACGTTGCTGAATATTTTTCAATTAAATTTGGATCTTCTGTTAAATGCTTCGCGCTAAAAATTATTAATACATATTAAATCTGTATGCAATCTAGCAAAAATAGAAGTTAAGTCTTAAATTGAGAAGTTATTTTTACTTATTAAAATTTGTAACTGCCTCCTTCTAATTTTTAAACGTTGAAATACGATACGATTACGAGAATAGGATACGTTCTCACCCCTGGCAATCAGTAATTCATTATGAAAAATTGACACTGAGAGAAAAGAAATTTATCGCAGCCCGACAGCGGGAGAAAAATGACTGGTGCACATGCCTCGGCGGGATTAGGCACAATACATGTTTAGAATGGCGCAGCGACCTCCATCGCCTCGCAGGCAAAGAAAATAATCGTTGCTCCAGTTGGATGTGCGCCAACAAATGTAGCTCCTTTTTAAGTTTGCCCTTCGAGCGTAGCCTTGACTTTCAGGCCGTAAAACACGTGTATATCTCCAACCGGTACCTTGCACCTGCTTCCTAAGACACTGTAATTGGAACATCTAGATACAGTCTAGTTGCATTCGTTCGCGGCTATCTTCTAAAAATACTTACGAAAATCGCGAGTCGGTTAAATTCCGGTTTAAAGTTCGTCTTTAGTCGCATCAATCGTTGGTTCAAGTCATTAACATCATTAGCTGGAGTTGATGTACATTACTATTTTTATTTTCGAACGTCTATCGTTCCCAAGATGCTGAGAATAGTAGTTTTTATATATTGAAGAGGAGACAGCATAGAAAAAGTAAAAATCTCGACGTTAATATTAAGTATGTTCGGTGTTTTTACTTTTATAATTCAAACAGAGTACAAAGATATATAGATGTATAACACGTCTAAAGAGTAGATAGGATCTTGTTGATGTACATGTATTTAAAAAATACGGTGCATTAGTTGCATAAAAAATTACACTTACAATAGCTTGTATATTGATACTCAGTTCAAATATTTTTCTGCTTAAAGTCGGTAACTTTACGTTTGATAAAAATTGAGTACAAAAATATCAGAATCGTACTTTTCATGTGATATTTCAATAAATCGTACCTGTTGGGTATTTTAAATTTCAGTTTTTAAGAATATAATTTTGTTTCTTCAAAGTGTATATATTATTCTGGTCATCTTTTAAGATATCTTCCTTATTCTTATAAGGATACTTCTTTAAAATTATCTTATTAGGATATCATAATCATACAAAGTATACTGTATTTTTAAAGAGGCACTTATATGTAAAATATATGTAAAATATTGAACTTAAATGTAACTTCGAACTGTGTTTTCAACGTATGCACTTATTTTGCATTTTAGTGTGAATACATAATCTTTTATATAAATTTTAGTTTTAGATACGTACGATGAAATGCATTCACTCACATACATATCTTTGCAACTATAATTAAGTGTATAATCAAATACTTAACATTAATCATTAAATTCTCGTGCCTCGTAAGCGAATATGTGGATGAAACGCATTAAGATTAGAAACTATGATATTAATTGTTGAATAACTGCTGTTAATAACAAAGTATTCGCAAAACAAAATTGTCAAAAATTTTGTAAATTCCACACGACAATAATACTGAAACGTACACACACTTATCTCGTTGCATATCTTTGAATATATCCTCAAATAAACTTCAAATTTTAAATATTTTACTTTGTACAATTTTTACGTCTTGAAAAGATTAAAAATTTACCGAGATCGATCACTGTGAATGTCGTTGCATTCTTACGAAGATAATACAAAACGTAATTATATGTCCTTTTTGTTTTCCGAATTGACAACTTGCTTGATCACGCTCGTGTCTGCGTTTACATTCTCATTATCTCCATCCTTGGAAATTTCATCTCGAATTTCTGTAATGCTAGCTCCCTCCTTCTTTTCGTCATCTTCCTCCAGAAGATAATCCCAGTCTTGCGAATCGTCACCACCATCACGAATTTTGCTCAACTCCTTTTTCAACATCTCCAGACACTCTCTTCGTTCCTTCCACTTTTCTGCTTGCTCAGGATCTAACTTGGCATCCTCGCCTTGTATTTCTTGTTCCATCTTTTCTTTTCTTTCGCATTCCAATATGTATTTTTCATAGTTCTCCACCTGTACAGAAACAATCATTAATTGAAGAGTCTTCACATAACTGAAGACTGATTCCTCAATAAAGAAGTAAATATTTAAAAGTACGGCCACTGTCCTTCCATTCATAAATTGAATCATTCCTTAGTTGAAATTTTAATTTTAATTAAAGCTTGAACCGATACCTATATCGATAACCTTTTTTTAGTAATTTTAGTCCAAAATTCTATTTATGGACCGTTCGATCAATGTTCATAGTTTGACGCATTCATCTATCATTCGATGCGACACGCAAAACAATGAAACAATGCTCTCTGCTATTTTCATTGAAAAAAATTTCACTATCTGGGTAAATTCGAGAAAGATGCGACTGCTCATCCAAAATCTAATGCGGTATTACCGAAATTTTTCGTCAATGGGTTCGATTTAATATATATCAATGTTTCATTTGTTGAAAAAGGATGGAAAACTTAAGGACCTTGTCTTGCAGCATTCGTTGGACATGATTTTGTCTTTTCAGGTGACGCGGTAACCAGAAGCACGCCTGAATGAGCCGCAAGAATATCCAGACAGCTCCGGCAAGAACCAAGTATGAACAAGCAGTGAACACCATGCTTATAAAATCGACCGAGATCTGCTGGTACTTCATATTGATAATTGATTAGTTTTAATAAAATCTGTAATCACGAAATAAACGAAAGACGAATAAGACCATGTTCGACCATCGATCGAAACAGATAGATCAATGATTTATATTTACTTTGTAACACTTTGCCTCGCGTAACATTTTATATTTTTATAGCAACTGTAATAAATAAATCAATATAGACAATAACTACTATTATAAATATATTTATAGTACTCAAACTTACAACAATTAATGACCAACATACTAATAGTATTTATGATATATAACATAATACATTTATGATATATAATCTCTTCGAAACACTTCTCTGAATTCTTACGTCAATGTCAATAATTATGCGTACAATAACTATATAAATATCGTATCAGATGTATTTATCACTATGTTGAGCAATGTTGAAAAATGTAATATAATACAAAATACGTGATGTACATGTGAACAGTGAATTAATAAATTTACGATGTCCAATCTATTTTATTAGCCGGTTATGTAGCTTGTTGAAAAAGAAATGTATGATGCTAATGTGCAGTGCATATAATAAATGTCAATGATATTACGACATCCACGATATGCTGTAACTGTATTGATTATGCTTACTTTGTCAGAGCGATGAAATGTGCACTAGGCGTTGTAGATATATACTGTATACTTTTGAAATGTTCATTAAGAATTTCTCATTTTCTATTATTGATCTAGTTTACCAATGATATACGTTGCTTCGCGTGTTTTTCAAAAACATTACAACGTGAATAATTTTTTATATATCTGTAGTGTTTAACATCGAAATACATGTACATTCAACGAAATTTTTTAAATATGTTAACACTCACCATGTTATTATACAAATTGATGTTAAATTGCTACTGATGAATAATCGCAGGTACGCAGTTTACTCGCACATTATGTAAATAAAGAAAAACGTTATTTTAAATAATAATACCAACACGTATACAACACAAAAGGACACATATAAAATTATTAAAGTGACAATAATGCAGACGAAAATTAATTTTTCTTACAAACCTTTTACATCTAATTGATTGAAAAAAAAAAAAGAGAAAACAATGAACAAAATTAGCGTAAGTTGTAATTACTTATTAATGCTATCAATTTCACTATTACCGAAATATTACACAAATACACCGTTCTCCAATAATTTTCAATGTTTTATCTATCGTACTGTAACAATGAATATAATAAGAATATGAAAAAATATATATTCACACTATAACGTATACGTGAATGTTCTACTTTCGTTTGAATTCTGCTTATTCGTAGCGCGCAAATTTGATTTCGCTTTGATAACGTTTAAAATTTGTATACAACTCTTTATACGGCTGACTTACCTTTCCTTAAAGAAACAACGATGCAATCATGTCCAAGATAGGAAAATTTTTTTATATAAAAAAACGGCGAAAGGTATATGTGTGTGTAACGCGAGTCGAAAGTAGAAGAAATGACAATACGTCAGGCTGGCAGGTGAAACACGACTATTCACTACTGACCCCTATCGAAACAATCGATATATGGATATAGCCACGTATGATTAAACTGACATCCTGACGTCTTACAAATATTTCAACGTAAACAGAACATTTCACGCAATTAATAATTCACTGTTCCCCGCTCTATTTCAATCTGTTATCCTTTAACAATAATCGCTTAACGAACTTTTGAATTACTTCTTGGACGTATAAATATTTATTACAAACTATTACGAGTGATTGATTTTCGCACATTCAACAACGATCACGTACTTAATAATTGAACTTAAATTAGAAAGATCTCATATGCAAGCACATCTTCAGCGAAATTTTTAAATCAATCTTATAACTCTTATCTTCACAAACAATATTGTTTTAAATTATTTGTAAATTACGTTATAATGGAATAATTCTCTTTTCTGTTTAGGAAGTAAGAGTATAAAAATTATATCTAAAGAAATATTATAATTTATAATTTGACAAAAAAAAAAAAATATAAAAAGAATATATTATCGATTTAATATTATAAATGCTTTTCTTTCGTTAACGTTCTTATAAATAAAGATAAAATAAGATAAAACAATACATGTTTTCGATAGTGTGCGGAGAAAACAATACGGTTAATAAAAAAATATATATAATGATGGTGTCTAGGATAATCTTATTTAATTATTATAAATTTCATTTTTGGACTTCCATTTACAATGGAAAGTACCTGAAGCTGAAAAGAATAGGGAAATTAAATCAAGAATACACACTTTTATTTTTACAGAGATAACTTAAAAATAAAACACTCCCCGTCCCAGCTAACATTAATCATCTAAATACAAATTGACACTTCGTGGTATTAATAGCAAGATCTGAGTAGCATTATCGCGTAGATTGAAGAATTTATTGTGTATCATTTAACTATCAAATTCTAACGTTTAACATGATTTTAATACATAATTTATTTTCTACGAAATTATACACATTCATCTAAGCCTGATACAATACGTACAGAGTAAACAGATGTGGAATGTGTGTGACAGCGCAGTTGTTAATAGGAAGGAACAAGGCCCATTGCAATCTTAATTTTAATACTCGATATACATGTTTTTTTTTTTTTTTACGTTTTCGAAGAAGAAAAATATTTACGTCATAGATCTCACATAGAATAGGAGGTAAGGAGTGGCGGAGTTTCGCGGATTTGGCGCTAGTTTATCTTCTAATTCTCGTAATGGGATTACATGTACTGCTTCGTCATCACATTCCAACCACGTACTAGGATGTTTATGTCGTCGAATGCCACAACAATCCATACTGCGACAACAAAACCTGATTAATTGCTCCTTAGTTTCGCTAACACTTGGTTTACTTCTAAAGTATTTTAATATGCCCGACGTTTTGTCTGATGAAGACGAGTTTGTATTTGCGCTGCTACTACCCTGAGCAGAATGTTGTCGCTTACTATCTCGATCGCATTGATAATATTCCGAGAACGCAGATTCATCAGGCAAACGGGTATAAGCAACATAATGACCAGCTGTCATTGTCGCGCCCTGGTGCATAATTACAGAATATAACTTATATACATGTCGTGACTCTGATTTGCCACCTGCAGTTCCCCGTGTTTGATCATTATTGCATTCTTCGCAAAAACATTGTAACGTTAACGGTGTTGGCATGTGATTATTAATTTTTTCCATTGACCTAATGCAACGTAGATTTTTATATGAAATAAGGAAATCTTGTTTTCTTCATTGCAATAAATAAAAGCCGAAAAGTAAAATCTTACCCCGCTGCTGTAGAAAATCTTTTCAACTGCAATATAAGTAGCCTTGGTAAAGACGGAAAACAAACAGCTCTGCGAGCTTCGTTATATCGAAGACAACGAGCACACCAATATTTATCCCGACCCCAAAGAAGCTCACTAGTAACAACGGCGCGTTTGTATACTTCACTACTATCCATTGGTCTTACTTCTTTATCTGCAAATAAATATAGCTACAGTTTAATCGTTACGAGTTAATCGATGTAGACAATCGATTAACACCACCTACCTTTTTCACTTGATCTGTCTATATCAATAGGCACACATATATCGCAAAATGTTTCCTTCCGTTCTGTAACATGTTCACATTCTAAACATGTGGTTCGCAAAAGAGTAACTCCCTCAAAATCTTCAGAAATAAAGCATTTTTTGCTTTCCAATCTATGACTACTTATATCTCCATTACTTTCCGGAAATTCAGCATGACCATTCTCATATTTCATACAATATTTCATATAATACTTCATGTGTTCATATGGTCTAGAAGATACGCCGTTTAAATTCGACTGTACAAGACAAGAAGAACTTCCTCTTGTTATTTTTTTCTTTTTCCTAGATTTACGAATGCTTCTTTTATTGGAATTGCTACCTTCTGATTGTACATCTGTTAAATGTTCTGTACAGAAATCTGACAATCCTTCGTTATTTTGTCCAAATTGACTCTCTCTATGTCTGACCAATAATTGGAATGTTTCCCTGATATTGTCCAATAAACACACTAAAAGCTCGTGAGCATCTTGTTGTTGATTTCCTTCAAAGATAGGATTCACATCTCTGTAAAAAGAATATATGTGTATTACAGTATTTAATATGATATTCTAGTTATCTAGCATATTTACCTGAGAGCTTGCAAAAACGCATCTGGCTGGTATGGTTCACTGTTTTCTCTTGCTTCAGATACACGTAATGCCATGAATAACTCATGTAACTTCTCAGTAGCTATTTGTATTCTATGTTTATTACTATCCCCAGTAGGTCCAGCCAAAGCTAATAAATCTTTACTACTCCAACTTCGACTGCCACTTGATGTAAGTGACACGCCAGTTCTACCCAAAGATGATGACTTTATCTAATATAAAATACATAAAATTATGTTACTCTATTCTTACGTAAAATTTTAAAAAAATATATTGTCAACAAGATGATAACACTTACTTTTGTTTGAAGTTGTTTATCGTTTAAATTAGACAAATCAGTGGCCAAATGATGCAAATTATGTAGAAAGGATGGTGCAAATCTTAAAGTATATATCACACTATTCAGAAAACATGTATTTCCTAAGTTACATAAAGTAGCTATTCTTAATCCTTCTGTACCACTATTTGATACGTCATAGCTTCCATCTTGGTGATTGCTCAATTGATTGCGATAACCATTCAACATTTTGATTGTACCTTCATAGTTAATGAATACCACAATTAATGTACAATAATTATATTATAAAAATTTATAAAATAACAAAGTTTACGTACTATGTGTACAGGTATCTCTGTTCAAAAGGCTCTCCCACTCTGAGGTCTGAGGAGCCTGAAAAATGAAGCTAGAAATTGTACGTTCACGACCAGAAAGAGATAAGCAAAATTTCTTCCTAGGAGGAACTGAACGTTTATCTGCATCTTCTTCTGTTTCTAATACTGTCATTTTTTGTTAACCTAAAATCATAGTCAATTATATCTTTATAAATTACAAAGAGAAATTTACCTTTACAGAGAATCATTTAAATTGCTATGTTCAAACTTACATTATCTTGTATAGAATATTTATTACAGAAATTTAAATTACATCATATAGCTCTACATCACTCCATATAGAATGATATTAATTGTATTCATTTTACGTCATGTTAATTAATTTAATTTCTATCGTACAAAACCTTTATACTCACGTATTATTTAGTAAGGAAGTCATGGAACAAATAAGTTTGTTATTAACCTTAGTTAATTCAAAAAAATTTGTATGTACAATTAACCACAAAACGTTCTTTTAGTTACGCGAACTACATTTCTACTGCTGTCAGACGAAACACTTTTTCTTACAATGTTAGAGTAGCCATTATCCGTTTCACCTAATATCATATATTCATGAACCGCGTTCATGTGCGCTTACAATTTCACATTTATGTAGCTTTTCCTGTACTGTTCACACTGTCGTCATTAACGTTCCCCTAGAATCCGTTACGAGCGTTTGCGTCTGAAAATGGACGTTGGTGCGACATAAGTGCATGTTGAGTAGGTCAAAAGCAGTTTCTCACTAGTTAAAAAGCGGATAAGTTTAAGAATACCTTATTACTATATGAATTTAACTCTGATTATTTCTTATTACTATGATTATAAAAAGATAGTATTGATTGTGTCAGACGTACAACAGATAATTATGTACATTATTTAATTTTTTACGATTTTGATATATGTATTTATACAAAATTTCATATTATAATGTAATTACTGAATTAATATAATGTAATAATAGAATTAAGTTATTTCCTTTGTATAATTTTATCGATTAATTTTGATACGTATGTACTTACATATGCGACTATTTCAATAATTAGAACTTTTTATATTTTGTCTTGATACGCTTTCTTTCTCAATTTTTCGTTCGTTTTCTGTATATTAAGTAGTTAACATTTATATTCATGAGCATTTTTTTTTTATTATATATAAAGAACTTATCATTTTTTATAATTTTGAATAATCGATTTTTAATTTTTTATTGTTCATAAATAATATTAAATAACTATATGATCTTGATCATCGAAAGATCTTGAGCATAATAAATTAATAGAAAGAGATCAATATGAAAAATACGGATTTGTCGAACTGAATATATGTATGTGAAGACAATAAATAATTTTTAATTAAGTTTTACTCGATAGCACTGTAATTAAACTTTTGTGTAATATTATTATTTCTCAATATACATAATTTATACTCTACAATTTTCTTTTTTTTAAAAGTTAAATTTCGATAGTTGTAGGTTATTTTAATTGCAAATTTATTAGTATTTAATGATACACATATAAATAAAAGATATTCATGATTTTTAATTCAATAAAATGATATTAAAAAATGATACTAAAAACTCATGTAGGGGATTGTATGCGTTATGTTGGCTAAAATATGTACGGTTACTTTAAAATACTAACTAGAGCATTTGAAATAGTTAAAAAACAGAAAGAGTGGATATAAGTTTTGTGCAATGTGTTCAAATAATTTTGAAAAACTTATAATTCAAGCTCGATATCTTGATGATGGTATTGAAAAATTAATTACAACGTGGAAACTTCCACATGTTTTAGTTGGACGTTTCACGGAATGTACCGCAGAAACAAATTGTTATATCGACGCCGTATGGAATATTATAAAAAATACAGAGGTTTATATCATATAAATAATTATTTGTTTTTTAAAATTATTAATGCTCCTTAAAGTTTCTAATCATTACTATTTTAATTTAATTTTATCAGAATGGAGTTGAACAAATTTTATCAGATATAAAAAACTGCAAGTTGGAAAATTCAATAGAAGAATTATGCCAAGAAAGTAAGGCAGAATATGAAACATTAAAAGAGCAGTGTGATAATTTGGATAGTGTTTTTGCAGAGTATGGTTATCAGTATGATGAAAGTAATGTTTCAGATGAGTAAGTATTTAATTTGCAATATTCTATTAATGAAACATTCATTATTTTAATATCTTATTCCAATATTTATAGAACAAATATTAACGATACAACAAACTCTGATCAAAACTCAGTTAAGGAAACAGAAAATTTAGAAGTGGAATTTACTCCCAATCTTAGTTGGAAATATAAATCAAAACACAATGTGCCTTTAAGTAATAATATAACATCTACTTCTAGTGACAGTTCTATTATACATAATTATTTGTGCACTCCAGGAAGAGAACGTCCACAAGAACCAATTTATTCTAGACATTTTTATGATATATTGAAAAAATGAAATTTTTCAAATTCGAAAGTTTGTATAAATAATCACATATATTCTTCTATACTCTGTAAATTTAGTCACTAAAATCAAAATTAAATCATTTTAAGAAAGTTTGTAATTTTGTTCTTACATGTCATATCCCAAGTTTCAAATAACCTTAAAATCTATGAGTACAATCTTTAATCTAGCAGTTATTCATGGTTTTTCTTCTATATAACATAAAAGTAAAATGAATTAATTACAGTAAAATTGTATTTTAATTGTATTGAATTTAATTGAATTTTAATTAATGTTTAATTCTATAATATATATACATATATTTTAATAAAGTACATTTTACTCAGTTTTAATAAAATACTACATTTCACTTATACTCTCTTTCTCCCTATTTTAGTTGTGATTTTATTATTGTAATTTTATTATTGTAATTTTATTTGATTTAAAATTTTTAAATATAATTTTGGTGATTTGTATTTGTAGTACATGTTGACAATGTAAATGGTACAAGTAAACGTAAACAATACAACATAACCTATGGTACCAATACCATTGTATCGAAAGTATTCTCCCATGAAAAAAGTTTAAAATAAGTAATTTAAAATTTTTATTGGAAATATGGGTTAGTAAGGAAATATTTTATTATATATTTTCAAGATATATTTATATCAGTCAGCATATTTACATACATAAGCAATTTATATATATATATTTTTTTTCATTGTATGTTTATAACAATTATAGATGCGAATACAAAGTTATGTCAAGGTAAAGATATCTTTGAAAGAATGAACTATTTATATCAGGTAATAATAATCTTGAATGGTTTTTATATCTTATTGTTAGAAATTAAAGTGTAATTATTAATAAGAAATTGTATTTTCAGGCAAGTTACTTAATGGCATTGAAAAACAGAGTAGCAGCATCATATTATGGCAATATAATGGTTGGTTGTGCAAAAAAATCGGTTCTAAGAATGTGAGTTTTAAGAATTTAATTAATTAATAATTATATAATACATTTATTTACTTATAGTCATAAATTTATTTAGTTATAGTCTCAAGTAGATAAAATATATATGTAATCTTCTTTTTTTAAGAGACTCAGATATTAAAAGAACAATTTGTAAATGTTGTCAGTCTCCACTTATACCTGGTGAAACTGCAAGAGTGCGATTAGTATCAAAACCAGTGAAAGGTATAAAGTGGACGTGTTTAACGTGCTTAAGTGTTAAAAGATATCCTACAAAAAAAGGATATAAGTTATGGACTGAACAACCCAATTCAGTAGTTCAAATTTTTAATTATACATCGGTAGATGATAAGTCTGTTGTTGAGGCACAAAAAAGGGATTCAGATAAAGGGAACTCTGTGGATATTGAAAAGAATTGAATATACACAGATTTGAATATTTATTTCCACATGATGTGAGATGTGATGAATGTTGACATACGAATATTTTTCTTATCAATGACTTACATAAAATATGTTACAATAAATTTATAATCAATAAACAGATACTTTTACTAACTGGAATATTAATAACCATCTAGTAATATTGTGATACTGATATTAGTTTTACATTAAATGTTTATAGACATAACATGATCGTAGTTAAGTTATTGTTTTTCGAGTATACGATATACTGTACGATCAGAGTCGTTCGCAATAAATTTCACAGACCCCAATGCATATGTTTCGTTGAGGACGGTTTAGGCGATGAAAAACGATGTGGTCTTCGCAGATAATGCGAAATGATTATGTTGTTACATAACATTGAAATTTGATGCGAACGTCTCCATTTAACTAGCTATGATATGACTATATCCGCCCATCGCCAATGAGTCGTAAAGAATCTCAAATATAAATTAACTGTCACGTATATTCGCGGGCGTAATCAAATCACAGATTAATCGGATAAAATTTAACCCTAACTTAAATAAATATAACATATATTGTAAATTAATAATTGAACATGAACTTATGATATATATGTTGATATTTCGATTGAATTTTCCTTATTACAGATATTTTTAACATTATGAGCTTGTTCTTTTTACCTAGAACAGTTTTTTTGCTTTAATGCCACGATATGGCAGTGACTCATTTGTTTGTATAGAAGACAATGACACTATAAGTACGTTCGTTTCTTCTTTTCTTGTAAAACGTACATAAGTTATATAAATACTAAACTAGTGAGGAAGTAATCAGAAAATTGCGCTGGACGGAGTCTACACATTCATTTATATACATATATCTGTCGTGCCAAGCTTCGGTCATTAAGCTATTTCACAGTATCTATCGTCTAGCAATTTTGATTTTCCTAACAGTGAACCTAACAATAGTTAGATAAGACCATAGGTTGGCAACGCACACATATATACATGCACACACCAGCTACGGGGAAATATTTATTCCAGTAATATTGACTGTCGTTCGTCGTTACTCTTCACTTTGAATTCTTCACTGTTGAAGAGTTCGAACTGAAATAGCAAAAGGTACAGTCAGAGTAGATTTTTCTGCATAATTCGGGATAATTTTTGTGCTCTCCTTGTACACGCGTCTACTCGCAGACAAACCTAACGATATTATCCGATTATTGTCGAAAAGGTGTGTGCATGCGAGTGTAATTTCGGAAAGGCGCGTGCGACAGTTAGAGCCGTGATTAGAGAGGTACAATGTATGGTGATAAAGTTATATTATTGATTAAAAAAGGGATTGGCATAAAACTTAATTTATACTAGCCCTGAAACAAACTGGGGTTGACCATCACGATCAAGTGTAAATTGAGGCATTACATTCGAGGATGGTTGAAATGTTGATCCTTGGAAACCCATGGCTGATTCATAAAGCTGAAATAGAAGATGCGACGTAAATATGTTTCTTTCTTTTCGAATATATCATAGTTCAATCAATTATATGATAATTTTTCTGATATACATTGTGGTTTCCTGGAAGCGTTGTATAATCCGGCGTTGTTGGACGGTGCCTGTTCGTAGGCAGTGGGCGCTGAATAGTAGCATAAGTATTATCCTGAGATGTGTCACCCATTCCAACACTTACACCACTTCCTCGTCTTTCTGTACCTAAACCACCTTCTGGTTCACTAAATACTTGCATCGTTAACTCTTGTTCCTCGTATAACTTAAGTTTTCTAAAAAATAAACATTACATAAATATGTTTATGAAATACGTTTTTACAAAGGATATATATTTTCACTCACTGTTCAATCCACAAAGGATTTTCTGTAGTATTTAATTCATCAATGATTTGCTTTTTTATTAAACCATCCTTTTTCCGTATGTCATTTGGCACAGTGATTACCCTAAAATATCGTGTAACGTCATCAATTTTATGTTGTTCGTATTAAAAGAAAGATAAGCTTAACATTTACCAATGTCGTAAACAACAGCAAACTACTGTTACAGTAACCGCACCAACTAATAAAACTACCAGCAAGGCTATTAAAGCCGCTAACGCAGGATCGAATGGTTCTTCTTGCACTCCGGCATAAGCAGGCTGAGAAATTATATCAATTAATGCAATTACTCTTATTTATGATTTTAAATATAAGAAATACTCACCACTACATTTTCAATAGCAAAACCGGCGTAATAATCCTTCAGGAAGTCATATTTTGCATCAATAACCTTAAGTACTTGTGGAATGGGAGCAATGGTTTGGGTTTTTGGTTCTACTACGTGTAAATACATATCACACCTATAAATTGTATTCAAATGTTACGTTCTTGAAAAAAACATACATACTCTTTCCCGTTGTAATGGCTCGGCGGGAAAGAGTTAATTTATCAATTGTTTCGAATGTTTAGTTTTCAGTTTAGTCTTTACCATTCTCTGCGAATATGACCTGATGCATCTACATGGTATCGTATCTCATCAACAACAACTCTGCTTTGAGTTGCGTTCGATAATTCTGATACAATTTCATCGCGTTCACGATTTACTTCCTCCGGAGATTTTGACAAGATGACTCTTATTAATTGCGAAGCTTCGAATACCCAAACCTTTACAGACACCAAAGATAAAGAAATTAAGAAGTTGAGAACGTACAAAGATACTCGCATATGAAGTGACTTACATGAACTCTAGTCATGGCGTATCTCTCCGGGATAGCAGTTTCTTTCGCTATAACTTCAACGATGAATCTGTCCTGATTATATTCGGCCATATATCCACTTGTAACGAGTTTACCATCCTGTGTTACGTTAAAAGGACTCGGGACTATAGAGCCACTAGGTTTCTCTGATCCATATTTATAAAGGTTTGCACTGGCAACATAGTAATGAAGTGTCCCATTGTCTCCAGCATCTAAATCTGACGCTGTTACTTTTGTTACGAAATCATTAACGATTGCCATTGAATTAACACCAGCGTAGTAATCGTTACGCTCGAATATCGGTGGATTGTCATTCTCGTCTAGAATAGTTATGGTAACATTTACGTGTCCATGATCTGTATTGTGGATTAGTGGGCGTCCTGCATCTGCAGGGCTTATATAAATATCAGGATTATTGGAAGCCAGTATCGATAAAAGATATTTGTCCCGAGTTTCACGATCGAATGATTTATTTGCGTATATACTACCATCAGATTTGTCCATGTAAAATGCGTAATTTTCGTTTCCTGCGAATGATATTTAAATTTACCTCTGTCGGGTAATTACATATATAAAATAATATAACACAGATTGCCGCAACATTATTTACCAGCCTCTATATAGTAGTAAACTTTTGCGTGTCTGCCTTCATCTTTATCTTCCGCAGTTACTTTCCCTACGAAGTAATCTTTCGGACGATTTTCTGATATAGAAAAGTGATAATCGTCGTAAAATTGTGGCGTATTGTCGTTCGTATCAACTAACTGTACAGTAAGTAGTCGCAAAGTTTCATATGCCGTAGGAGTACCGTGGTCAGCAGCTACGAGAACAAGCTGAAATATTAAATCCAGCGTTGTTATTTCATTTTTAAATACAATCTATATCGGAAATCGTTGGTTCTAACACGTGAATTAGAATTTTACCTCAAATTTGCTCTTTACTTCGCGATCAAGGATAATTTTCGATCTTAATTCACCAGTCTCTTGATCTATTGAAAATTCTTCTGTTTCTTGAGTATTTCGATTCCCAACTTTCAAGTGATAACTTACGCGTCCGTTTTCACCAGGATCTCTATCGATTGCTTTTACGGTCAATATCAAGTAATTCAGTACACCCGTGTTCTAAAACATTTTTGTTCGTTATTACACACGTACATGTATAACGTTCTATAAACGAAGAGATCTATATTTACGCTCACCTCAGGCACTTCGACGGTAGTGTTTGTTAATTCGGGTAGAACGAACTGGGGTTTGTGTTGATTTACTGATGTTACTCGTATATCAACCGAACAGTTGTCCGAATGTGGACCACTGCCAGCACCGTCCCTTGCCTCCACTTCAATTCTGTACGAGCCAGCTCTTCCGAAAAGTGCTGCTCCAGGATATAAAATGCCCGTTTCGCGGTTCAATGTGAACGATTCGTTCTCATTCCCATGAATTATGGTATACCAAACTTCTCCATTGATCCCTTCATCATGATCCACGGCTATGACCTTATATGACAAATATATACACATATAATATATCAGCTTTCTAATCCCAGTTTAATCTAGTTGTTCTTCACAGTTCAAATAGATGGGGTATAATTACTTGTAAAATAGGTGCGGGTGGATTCACCGGCAGATTTTCAGCAACCGAAGCTCTATAACTATGTTGCGTAAATATTGGTCGATTGTCATTAACGTCGATTAGTTTAACAACCACTGGAACAGTGGTGCTTCGACGTGAATTTATGTGAGCACCATCGCTGGCCATTACTGTTATCGTAATATTTGGCGTCATCTCTCTATCGAGAACAGTCGCACCACCGACAGTAATTTCTCCCGTTTCGTGGCCTTGATTTATGATTTGACATAAACGGATACTCGTCAAAATAAAACGTCACTTTGATCGACACTTTGATGAAAGAAACATTGAACTTACCGATATTAAAGTCAGCGGCATGATCGCCAATAAGACTATAACTAACTTCTCCGAACGGGCCTTCGTCTCCATCTGTCGCTTTAACGACGGTGACATGGGTGCCCGGTGGCGAGTTCTCCTTCACCGACGCATTGTACGATTCCTGTTCGAATTTAGGATCCTGGTCGTTAACGTTTATCACAGTGACAATGACCTTGGCGGTTGCAGATAACTGAGGTACTCCGGAATCATACGCAACCACTGTGAACTCCAACTGTTTCGTCTCCTCGTAATCAATAACTTGACTAGTTCGTACAATTCCTACGATGTGTACAATATTTATCATACTTCTCATACTTTGGTTACATTTTAGCTGTAACGCAATCGCAACGAACCTGTGATGTTGTCTATATTGAAATAGGGACTTGGTGGTATAATTGCATATCCTGCTATATTACTGTCTGCATCTACCGCTGTAAATGCTCCTACAACAGCTCCGGTTGGCTGCTCTTCTTGCATCTCTATTAGATATCGTGGATTTTCTCTTGTCCATGGTTTTAAGAATTCCGGTGCCATGTGATTCACGTCAATAATCGTAACTACTAAAGTACCTGATCGCAAACGAAAAGATTAAATGGATAACATGTATTAGGTGCACGTACATAATACATGAGATAGTTGATGAATTAATTTTTAAATTTAACACCACCAATGAAGTGGAATCTAAAAAAAAAAAAAAAGAAATACTTGTTTTATCTACTATCTATATATTATAATATACTCCACTTTGGACATTTTATGTAGGTATCTCTGTATGTTATACGTGTACACAGAGTTTTCTAGGTTTCCATAAATCTACATCCTAGTTATAATTAACATTTTCAATTAGTACCTCTTCCTTGCTGTAACGTGGGTGCCGTTGTGTCGCTGACAACGACAGTTATGCTCACAGTTGCTGCGATATCACGGTCCAACGACCTAACGACAGAGACTTGACCAGTCGCGCGGTCAACAGCGAAGAAGTCCTGCGAATATATCAATTGACGCAAAAGTTATTTCACGGGAATTAATCTTACATGATCGTGAAATAAAGCGTCAGATTATACCTTGAACGATTTACTGTCATTGACTTGTTGACCGTTTCTATCGATCGCTGTAATTGGCTCCGAAATTGCGAAGTTTAGTGCTTCCGAGTTGGCACTGTCTGGATCTGTAGCTTTTAACGTCGTGAAGACAGTGCCAATGGGCGTGTCTTCCGTAACCTCGGCTCTTTGGGTCTCTGGTGTGAAATAGGGCGCCTTGTCGTTGCTATTTTCCACGTTTATCATTAATGTCGTTGTTCCGGTTAAACTAGGTGTTCCTTAATCATCAAAAAGATTATGATGAGAGCATGTAAGGTGGACTCGACTGTGTTTCATGAACACTTTGCTTTTTTACTATTTTTTTTTTTTTTTCAATATTCAATATATCAATTAAAAAGAAACAAATTAAATTAAAAAGTTGTCTTCACCCACCCTTATCGAACGCTATAACTTCCACGTGATACGTATTTTTGTTGTCGTAATCTAGTTTCCTAAACACCGTTACGACGCCTGTTGTTTCGTTAATGGTGAAGTCGTCGAAAGCACCCTTTTGTATTCTGTAAACGAGCTGGGCGTTGATCCCTGTGTCAGCGTCGGTCGCTGTAACTTCCTCCACAACCGTTCCTGTTAATACATCACATTAGAAAATCTCATTAAACGCGATAAACATGTTATCTTAGGGGGGGGGGGACTACCTATTGAAGGCCATAAACCAATCACATACCAATTGGCGATATTTCTGGTATACTCGCAGTATAAAGTTCTTGCGTGAAGACAGGCGCGTTGTTGTTCACATCGCGGATCGTAATGTTAACGGTGGCGGAATCGACAAAAATTCCGTCGCTAGCTTGTATGACGAGCGCGATCCAATCGTGGGTGGAGTTCGTTAGATCAACTCGTCCTTTGTTCCTAATCGTAATTTCACCGGTGTCTTGATCTATAGCGAAATGACCTGACTTGTCGCCACCTACGATCGCGTACGTGATCTTCGACGTTTTGTCTTTATCCCGGGCTTGTACTTTCAAGTCGGGCTCGAATTTTTCAGCTCCTTCGTCAATAACGGCGCGGTATTTGTCTTGCAAAAATCGCGGTGGACTGTCATTGGCGTCCGATAGGCTGATGCGCAACGAAACGCTGGTCGTTTGTCCTTGTCCGTCGTTGTCGGTGGCCTGAAAACGACGAAACTGATGAAATAACTGATAAACTTTGGATATTTGTGCATTTAGGGAAAATCTGAGAGCACAAAATTATCTAGACTGTGCTTCATCGTGCTTTTGACTGTGATAAAAAGTAAAATGATAACAAAATGAATTTTACATATTATATTAATATTAATCTAAATGTACAAAAATATCTAGAATATATTGTATTATACTTTTGATTGTGATACAATGATAAAGAGTGAAATAATGACTGGGGATGAACTACGTGTAATATAATATGGTATATATCTCATAGAAAATATTAATCTAAATTTACAAAAATATCTATGTTGTATCGTATTATGCTAAAAAGTGAAATGATGAAGGAATGAACTATATATAATGTAACAATTTTAACATAACATACTTTGTATGTTATAAAACATTCATGAAAATATTAATTTAAATGTACAAAAGTATCCAGATTGTATTATATTATAATACACTAAAATAATATCTATTATTATTCCATTCTATATTCTATAATACAATAGGATATAGATTAAAATATTAATTTAAATGTACAAAAGTATCCAGATTGTATTATATTATAGATTAATTTAGATGTACAGATAGATGAAAATATTAATTTAAATGTACAAAAGTATCCAGATTGTATTATATTATAATACACTAAAATAATATCTATTATTATTCCATTCTATATTCTATAATACAGTAGAATATAGATTAAAATATTAATTTAGATGTACAGATAGATGAAAATATTAATTTAAATGTACAAAAATATCTAGGTTGTATTATATTATAATATACTAAAATAATATCTATTATTATTCCATTCTATATTTTATAATACAGTAGAATATAGATTATATTCTATGTATCAGATGATTATATCTATTATATTATAATACCGTATTGTATTATATGCTTTATGACAAAAAGTAAAATGGCGAATGGACGAAGTATTATATGTATACAACAATATAACGATTTTAACGCAGCACACCTTATACGTTAGAAAATATTCTGTCTGTTCCTCGTAATCCAAGCAGGGTGACGTTCCAGGAGTCGGACACTGAGCCACGGTAATGACCCCAGTTTTTCGATCGACGGAAAAATGCTGTGCACCCTGTCCAAGCAACTGATAAGCTATACCAGCTGTGCCAAATCTGGAACATAACACGCTTATGAAATTTCCATCGTATCAAACGAGATTCCAACGGAGATTAACGATCTTTTCTCACCGCCCACTATCGCGATCCTTGGCAGTGATCGTTGTAACCGTTGTACCTGGCGGCGCAGTTTCCAGCACCACGGCTGTATAAGTAGGATTACTAAATGTCGGAGAATTATCGTTCGCGTCCGTGATAGAGACAGTCACGGTCGCTGTGGAGGATAGTTTCGGATTTGTGTGAACCTCTTCTGCGACCACCTGAAGAATTACAACGGCTTGTAACATCCACTTTCGAACGGTATAAACCGAAACGATAGAACGAACAGCGATCTGTTTACCAGAATGATGAATTTACGCTGGTTAGGATTTTCGTAATCCAACGAGCCATTCGCGACGCGAATGTTCACGGATGTGCTTCCGGTCGCCATGGTTGGCTCGATGGTGAAAGCACCATCCGTGATGTCTTCCAAACGCAGCGAGAATACCGAGTTCAGGCCCTGCAACGACATAATCTTTAATCTAAGTTGCTTCAATGAAAGTTCATATTGCACTGTACGATATTTCTTTTGCGGTATTTATACCGAGAGCGTGACGTTCTATCTACTGCTAATTTATTGTTAAATGTTCTGCGTCACTTCGATTATCTGTATACGTAAATTCTCCATGAATTAATATATTGATACTCATTATCCTTCATGGTTTTTCTGGATAAATTCAGGTTTTCATTTATCTGGATAAACTAAATTAAATATTTATTTAATAAATATTATAATAAATATTAATGTAAATATAATATTAATATAATAAATATTTAATAAATATTAATATAAATATTAACACAATAAATATTATAATAAATATTAATGATATTATATAAATATAATATTAATATAATAAATATTAATATAAATATTAGCATAATAAATATTTAATAAATATTAATATAAATATTAACATAATAAATATTTAATAAATATTAATATAAATGTTAATATAAATATTAACATAATAAATATTTAATATATATTAATATAAATATTAACACAATAAATATTATAATAAATATTAATGATATATAAATATAATATTAATGTAATAAATATTAATATAAATATTAGCATAATAAATATTTAATAAATATTAACATAATAAATATTTAATAAATATTAACATATAATAAATATTTAATAAATATTAATATAAATATTTATATCTCTCGTTCGAGAGTAGAAACATAAAATTTGACGAAACTCCTACTCACGACATCAGGATCCTTGACAGTCATGTCCAAGTGGGGCAGAGGCGTGCCATTTGGCACGTTCTCCGGAATCTCGATGTTATAATCGCGGTGATTAAAAGTGGGTGGCTCGTCGTTGACGTCCTTGATGGTCACTGTTGCTTCGGCCGTTGACACCGTGAGATTGTCGTTACCTGGCATACCGTCGATTAATTCACGTGCCCTCACCTTCAGCGTCAGCACCCCGGTCGAATCCTTTAATGCCTCTCTATTTAGAGGCTTTGCTGTTCTTAATTCGCCTGATTCGTCGTCCAGTAGGAAATAGTCGAATGGATCTGCGGGAAATGACGTGCAAAATTTATCCAGTGGAATCAAGAATAATGTTAAAAACAATAGAGAAATGTATCCTTCTCGATAGAGAGAGAGAGAAAAAAATATCTATTGAATCTATGAATTAATAAAAATTGAATTGACATTCAGTATCTATTGAATTGAATAGTCCACGTCAAGAAGAAGGCTTTATACTTTACTTTACTTTTTTTTTCTTTTGGTTACATGTATTATCAATACTAATCAATTATAAGCTTATAAGCTTGGTTTATTAATATTACCGGAAAGCGTAATTAACCCGCGTCTCCTTTAATCTATTATCAATACACGCATTTTCATCCGAAGTTTCAGATTCTTCCGATCCTCTATCGCGGACGTACAGAGGCAATATTCCACTCGAGCAAAAACAATTGACGTTCTTCGCCAAGCGGCGGTATAACACGAGCATTATCCAATTGCTACCAACTTTTGCACGCGAAACGATTTAATCGGCGGAATTACGAGCAATTCAATTAAATTCAACGAACGTTCCGCGTTGTGTGCTTTGCAACACAATCGGCCGCTGAATTTCAAACGGTGGTAATTAATGCGGCGACGTAGCCCGACGCGGCCGCGGTTCGAACAACAGCGAAAAGAACGTGAAACACAAACAGCGCAGCGAACTCACTGGTGACCAATTCGTAGATCATTTTCCTCGGCATCCCCCTGTCGCCGTCCCTAGCTTTGACAGTCATAACCAAAGTACCAATCGGATCGTCCTCGCGCACCACGCCGGTCAGCGAGTCGAGGAATTCCGGGGGGCTGTTCTGAATGTCCGCCACTTTGATTTCTACCCCCGTGGTCTCATTGTTCAGTCCGTCCTGCGAGGGAAATTCACGTATATATGTATATATATATGTAAAAGCACGTTGCTCGTAGCCGGATCCCCTTTCCGGTTACCTTTCGCCCCCGCTGTTTTAAGGCGGCCGCCTCCGCAATCTGCTCTCCTGTCAGCTATTTTAATCCCGACTATTTCGCCTGTCAGCTGAATTTCGGGCGAAGTTCCTCTATTATAAGTCGGATAAATTAGATCTCCGGGAAACTTTCGCAAATATTGAATTCCGAAATTCGCGTGTAACGTGATTTCGGCCGTGAGGGTGGCTTACGTCGAGAGAGAGAGAGAGAGAGAGAGAGTATCAGCGCTGTTGGAAATAAGAGATAAGAGAGGAGGGAAAAAAAAAAAAAAAACGGCGAGAGCCGAGTCATCGTTATTTTCATACGGTGAAAATAAACGAACAGGTGCCCTCTGCATTTCCTACGATAATAATTTTCACACTTTCCTACAGAATGGAAATAGAAAAATCCATAGACTGAGTATATACATATTTTTCCTGTTTTATAAAAGAAACGTTTTTTTTTTTTTTTTTTAAATGGGGGTTTAGCGTCGCATCGACTACGAGGTCTTTAGCGACGTGTCAAAATGACTCTTTGTAACTGGTCTAGTATTTGAGTCTCCTTTAGATAGTTGATAACGTTTTTTTGTTGTTTCTGGCAGGTTAGAGCGGCGTTTTCGTTTAATCCATATTTACTTCTTATGCTTCGGTATTTTCTGCATTCATGTAGTAGGTGCTGGGTGTGTAGTATGAAAGGAGAGACGTTTAGCACTTCCCTTAGACAAGGATGGAACACATATTCATAAATTGGTAAGGCACTTGTCGTCCTTTGGCGACACTTACCAAATTTTTTATGGCTGCGGCAGCCGATACAGCGATAAAACAAACCCAGAGGAAGGAAAGAAAAAAGAGACCAGAAGCAGCTAGGCAATTGGAAAAGAGACAGCGGAGAATATCTCGGTCCCGCAGCCTCGAAAAAGTACACGATGAAGGCCACCGTGGAGGTTTTAGTCGGTAGGAATCCGACACTACCCAGCTCCGGAACCAAGGGCTGGGTGTTTTATGCAAGATTTCCTCCCCGTAAAAAAAAAAAAAAAAAAAAAACGTACGTCGAGAATTTTTTGTTTCAAAATTGCAACATTTTCTTTTCAGTTTTAAGTATAACTAAATTAAAATTAAAATATTTAAAGTACATATTATAATAAATAATAAAATATAAAATTAAAAAATAAAGTTTGAATATAAAATTAAAATATTTAAAGTACATTTAATTAACATTTCTCATATTTAAGTATATTTAAATTAAAATTAAAATTTAAACTATATATAGTTTATAGTTATATATAGTTTAAATAAAATTTAAACTATATATAATAATAAATAATATATTTAAATATAAAATTAAAATATTTAAAGTAAATTTAATTAACAGTTTTCATATTTAAGTATATTTAAATTTAAATATATTTAAGTTAACCCAGGCAAAACAAATGACAAGTTTATTACTTCTTAATAATTTCTATCCAGTGATATCATATCGACGAGTTCAAAAGAAAAAGAAAGCAACGAATTATTGTGTACGGTTCGGTTACTCGTTATGGTCCGCGAACCAGTTACCAGCGCAAGGGATTAACACGTTGAGTGCCGTGTACCAAATTTGACACACGTCACATCGTTCACTGTCACACGAATCGAGACTTGCGTAGTGATTAGGTTCGTGTGTTATGGTGGGGCTCATGCGTCGTCTGAAAGAAACGACAAAGAGAGCTAAGTATGGAGGGGATTATGGCTCTCGAAGAGGAGTGCGAGCCACTAGTTGAACAGACCTGTCCTGTAATTCTTTGACTCTTTGGAGTTAGGGGGTTTTAAATTGTCCCACATTTTTTATTGACACACAGTTAATGCATGGTGGGATATTTTCTAACCCACCTTAAAGATGTGTTTCAATGAATTTCATTTAACCTCTTATGCTGGAATGCCGTGCCATGTACGTCGAAAATTTTCTATTCCAAAATTGTAATTGTTTCCTCAATTTTAACTATATTTAAGTAAAATAAAATAGGCAAAACAAATAATAAATTTATTACTTCTCAAACATTTCTATTTAGTCGACGAGATAATCGATATAATCGATATCACACCGATCAAAAAGAAAGCGACGAAATAATTGTATACGGTTCGGTCACTCGTTATGGTTCGCAAACCAGCTGCCAGCGCAAGTGGTTAAAAAACGTTAGTTGCATGGTGGGATTATTTATGTCCCACTCTGTAACAAAGAATTTATTTAAATATTATTTTTCTCTTCATTTTAAGAAATATTTTATGTTTAATAATTGAAATAAAAGTTTTTTTCTTTTTTTTTATATTGAAAAAAATTCCTCTTTCCTTTTTTTAAAATTGCCCCTAAGTTAAAATTAGTAAGTGTTAAACGAAAAGATCAATTTACAAAAATTCTATTCCCCCCTTCCGCCCCTAATGTTACTTCTTTAATCCAGCCATTGGGTCAAGAAGTTATTGAATAGTTCAAATAAAACTATTGAAAGAATTTACTTCGGAAATTTCTTTCTTATTCTGTTGAAAAGAACGAAGACGTGATACACGTAAAAAATGAATCTAAATAATTATTGTATAGTGAGAATTGTATGATCTACCGTTACGAATCTACGCTAAAAAGAGAATGGACGAAGCTCTTTATAATTCAAGAAATTATAGAAATAAACAAAGAGGGAACAATTTCTCAGAAACTATTACTATGTACGTTGCAAAAAATACCTGATGCAACAATGATATTGTAACACAGTATCTTCGATCTGATCAAAATATGCAGATTTAATTGCTTTGGATATTGTTAATAGTATTTCTAATTCTCATGATAAACAAGAAGGAGTCTATCATGAAATTAATGACGAAAATACGCCTTCACACTCTGAAGTATTTATGGCATTCGAGACAGGACTAAAATGGTTTGAAGAACAAATAAAACACAATTCAACGCGACTCAATACATCAAAAAGTTTATAGCGATTTAGCAGCAAGAAAGAAATCCCATAAGATCCATAAATCATTAAAAAAATATTTCATTTATATCTATATTCAATTTTATTTGTATGTATTATATTTTGATTTTTATAATTATTTGTGCATTATTCTTTTTTAAATATATAATACATAATAAATATAAAATATATACATATATATAATACAATATATATATATTTAAAAAGTATATATATATAATACAATATATATATATTTAAAAAGTATATATATATAATAATATACAATATATTATATAATATATATAATAATATATAATACATATATATTAAAAAATATATATAATAAGAAAAGACGAGTGTTCTACTGTCCGAAAATTCCTTCAACCGAATTTTTTACGAATTTGTCTCCGTGTTCTTTCGGATATTGGAGATTCCATTGTATTTCCGTTTGTCGAAGAATGTATGCTAGAAAACTGGATCTATCAAGCAGAAAATTATACGAAGCATATTGTTTTTATTGTTAAGATGTTTTTAAGTAATCAAAATATTAATGTAGTGAAACAATCGATGTGGACAAACATGCAAAGCAAGAAACCAAAAAAATATTAGGGAATCATACTCACAATAAAAGAAGGATGAGAGTGAATATTTAGTCAATCGTTTTAGCGTACGATTTATCGAATCAATACCTTGAAGAGATGCAGCAGTTCTTAAAAATAAGGATTTAAAAACTATAAATAACAAAAAAAACTGTAGAAACATGAATATTTTGTTATGCAGTTGCACTAGTTGAACGAACGAAAGAAAAGTCGTTTTTGCAACCAGTTTTTCACAAAAATATTACTTGATAAGAAAATGAAGGAAAGGAGAAATTATATGCAAGGTGAACGTTGTTCAAAATGTTAATCGATGCACAACAAAAGTGTCTGGCTTTAACTCAAACATTTATGCAACGTTATCGAAACGAAGTCTTTAGTCTGAAGGACGATGTTGATGCATAGTGCAAGATTCTAGCGGCGGACTTCCTTAATAGCAGAATAAAAATACAACATCAAAAATAAATCGAAGGTGACAATGTGGGAAATACACATATAGATTACAGATCATATTATCGTACAATTATGTCATTAAAAATGATTTGCACATGAACGTAGTTTCATTGTTAAAATCATCAGTTAATGAAACAATAGTTCAATTATAATATTATAAGTTATATTATTATAATTAGAGTGATTACATTATAATGACTAAACTCTTCCATTAATTGACGATTTTGATCATCTGGGGCTATTTGCAAAGCGCAAATTGTTTTTAATGAAAGGTACACTGATTGTCTTCTGAACACTTCATATGTATATACATATGTATATATATTTTTTGACTAAAATAAATCATCTGCTTTTTTTTTTATCTTCCAATAGACCTTAGTTTAAAAATATGTCACACAAGAAATAAATGGCTTTGTAGAACGTTACAACCAATTTATGATAATAATATTGTTTATTACAAATTTATAGTTTGTAATACTACTTATTAGAAAGTTTTATGTTACAGTTTCAATAATATCGTAAAGCTCGGAGTGTAAGCAGCTTTTTCACACTTAATATAGTTTTATAGCATTTCAAAATCAAATTGTCATTGTCGTCCTGAAAAAAAAATTTAAAAGAAAACATAAAAACACAAAACAAACCGTTGCAAATTACTATCGTGCAAAAGCAAATAATTTTTTCCTTGTAATAATAAATACTAATAATAAATACTATTAACATTATGTTATTATATAATAATAATAATATATTAATATAATAATAATTATTATTATATAATTACATTATATGTTATATAATAATAATTATATACATATATACTATTAACAATAATAATATTATGCAGTAAAATTCTAACGAAAACGAAATGTTGCAAATCTTTGCAAACTCGTAAAATTCATCAATCAATTCATTAATAAATATGTGAAATACACAATATACAGATATACGCAATAAAATCATGATATAAGTACATACTTCTTTACATGTCTTGTCAAGACATAACCAGAGTCCTGAGGATATTTATGCGACACAAATGTTGTTTAAAAGAATTGTCTAAGGAGAACGATGTACAGAATAGATATGAGGATTTTATTTCACCGCGTGAAATATATTGCTCGTATAATGTTTGATACGTTAGATTCACGTTTGAGTTCATCGAAAATGGAATTCTACTGCCCTACGACTCGACTATGTTGTCGAGACATCGTAATTTCACCCTTTTCGTTATTAAATCACATTGCGCTTCGATCTCGCGAGAACACGCGACGTATAAAGTAGAAAGTCAACCATAAAGTTTATGGCGCGAAGAAACGTACATACATACGTGTATATGTTGGCATTTCCCTCTGATTCCTACGTTGTTCTATACATTTTGTTCCGTGACGATTAGTTTGAGAAACAAACTCTGCTATCCGCGAACTTTCAGTAACGTGTTTACATTAGTTACTTTATGATCGAAAAGATGATACAGATCATCTGAAATAATAACATAATCACATAAATCTCGAATTTAATATCGAGAAATATCTGTGTTCGTAAATATTATATTAAATCTTTTAGTTTTAAAAAAACCTTTTTTTCTTGAACTTTAACCCCTTGCACTGGCAACTGGTTCGCGGACCATAACGAGTGACCGAACCGTATACAACGATTCGTCGCTTTCTTTTTCTTCTGAACTCGTCGGAACATCACTGGATAGAAATTATTAAGAAGTAATAAACTTGTCATTTGTTTTGCTTGGGTTACATTTAAATATATTTGAAACTGAGAAAATGTTGCAAAACAGGAAAAAAAATTCTCGACGTGT